GGTTTTGACATCCTTAGAACATATTGGCTCCGACTCAATGCATCGAAGTGTGCATTTGGAGTTGGGTTTGGTAAGTTCTTGGGATACTTGGTAACTAGAAAGGGCTTTAAGGCAAACCTGGATCAGATCAAAGCCATCTTAGAGCTGAAGAGCCCAACATCGGAAAAACAAGTGCAGATGTTGACTGAAAGGGCTGCAGCCCTGAATAGATTTATAGGCAGAAACTCTAACAAGTGCACACACAGACTTCTTGTGAACAAAAGAGTGCGAAGCCACCTTGGCCGACTTGAAGAAGTATTTGACCACAGTTCTAGTTCTCTTAAATCCAATACCTAGAGAGGAGTTGTTTTTATACTTGGCAGTTTACAGAGCACCAGCAAGGGTACCAGGCGAGTTTATGGGAAGAAGCCTTGTGTAATAACCCTCACCCCTGTTTACCGATAAACTACTTTCATGGTGTCTTTTTGTTTTAAAGGGTCAAACCTCCATTTGAATGAAAGGGTGCAAACCTTTCATGGTGTCTCTTTATTTTAAAGGAAGGGGTATGTCCCTTCTTCATACCTTTTCTATTCAAATTGAATAGGTGCCAACAAAGCCTATATAAAGGCAGCCTCATTCCAATTTTGATGGATTCCGAAAATTCATTTTCCTTGCCTTCATTTTGCTCTCTTGCGTCCTTTATGCTTCATATTATTTTAGGAAAAATTTCAAAGAGTTATGGAACACAAGGTTCTGGTTCGTCGAACAAATTTGTTTGAAGTGCTTACTACAATTTGTGAAGATCATTGTATCCTGGGAGATAGACGTCACATAACCGTAAGCACCGTAGCGGGGTGAATCTGTCTTAAGGACAGAGTGTCACACACTCGACTTGGTCTTAATTTTAATTCGGTTCAATAAATAAATCCGGTATGCTATTTATTTATTTTGTTTGAATTTATTTCAAGTTATTTTATTTACACAGAAGATTGTTCCAACAAATTAATCGATAAACAAACTTCTCTGACCTTTGTTTGGTCAACTAGCAGGAAACCTGACATTACTGATGGGTTGAAGAGACTTAAATGTCGGACACTCATATTTGTTGGCGAGGACTCTCCTTTCCATTCAGAGGCTGTTCACATGACATCAAAACTGGATAGAAGATATAGTGCCTTAGTTGAGGTATGTGATGCATCAAATCAGTATGTAAGAATGCTTGTATGATATGAGATGAACAAAACATATACATGGTGGTGGCCCATCCAGGTATAAGTAAAATGATTGGTGTTCGTTTGGATGGATGTGGATTTGAAATCAAGGGATTTGAGGTTAAATTTTATAAAAATCTTAGAGAGTTAGTCACTGTAGAGAAGGTAAGTTGATGTAGAAAAGATGTATTTCAGTAAGATCTTTGAGCTAGGAGGAGACCCCTTAGTATGATTTCAAATATCTACTGTAATAAAGCTTTATAATCCTCATTATAAAGCTTTTTAATCCAATTTTGAAATTCTTAGATGAATTATCTAACTTGAATTTGAGTTATTCTTCTTGAATAATTAGGGCTTGTTTGGGAATTCGATTTTTTAGTGTCTTTTTGGCTGAAATGTTTGGTTCCTAAACATAATGCCAAATCTATGCATTTCAAATGGAATTTTAGTTTTTGTTGAAGCATTTTCAGTCTATCCAACTTGTTTTACTACATATAACAAATTTTATTCCTGATATAATATATGCCATGAACAATAACCCCTTGTTCTTGGGCTTTATTTCTTGAACTTGTTTGACTATCATGCCATCTAATTGCTAAATTCTCTATCTTTTTAGGCTGGCAATAAATATATATAATATATAATATATATAAGCTTGAAATTAATTATATTGTAAATGTTTTTTTTTTTTTTTGTTTTTTTTTTTTTTTTGCAGGTGCAACCCTTTTGAGTATGTGATGATATCTTCGCATATCGATATCAAAGTTTACAATCTTATTTATTTATTTATTTTTTGAAAAAAATATCAAATATTTTACATTTTTTGTAAGCTTGAAAATAATTATGTTGTAAATGATGATTTTTTTTCTTTTTTGTTTCTTTTTGCAGATGCAAACCTTTTGAGTACGTGATATCTTCGCATATCAATATGGGAGCTTAGTATTGATATCAAAACAAGCTACATTATATCTGTTTTTATTTTTTTATTTCTATTGTCGATATTAAAAATTTGAGTTCTTGAATTTCAAAAATTATTAGTATTGTTAAAGGTTATTTTATATATTTTTGTAAATAATATTTGATTGACAATTGTTACAAGGTACATATATTATTCTTGGTATATGATTTTTTGAATGCGAATTTGGATGTGGATGTGGATGTGGATGTATTTTAAAAAATATTTATAATTTGTATAGGAAATATTTAATAAAATATGATTTTATAAAAAATAATTTTATTGCGACAATAATAAACCGTCGCTAATGTAATTCTCATTTCCTTATATTTTATTAACGACGAGTTAACCTGTCGCATATACATATTAGTTCTAATCTTTTGCGGCGGTTTCAACTGTCCCAAATAAATATTTTGCGACGGTTGAAACTGTTGTTAATACGGTATTAACTTAATACCATTTTTTTGGCGACGCTAATAATACTTTTTGCGACGGCAAATACCGTCGCTAAAAAAAGTTTTTTGCGACGACAATCAACATCGTCACTAAAAATGCCATTTTTTTCCTTTTTTTTGTGTCAGGCGAAACCGTCGCAAAAACTATTGATTAGCCGTCGCTACATGAATGTGACGGTTTGTAACCGTCACAAATACTTTTTGTCATGCCCCTTTCCGCCACCCCCTATTTTCCGTCGCTGCTCCATCGCAAAAAGTCTTTTGCGACGATATATAGACCTTTTGCAACGTTTGAGACCGTCGCAAAAAGTCCGATTTTTAGTAGTGTATGAGACCCTTTTGTATATAATGAGAGATGTTATTTTACTTTCTTTTTAATTTCATCAAGAGATGAAGAGATGGATAAAGTGATATCCTTTTTTGACAATTATCTTTTTTTGAGAGAGATTTATGGTAACTTTTTTTAATGATTATTTTAATTAATATTTATTTTATGTGTATACACATTGTAATATGAAGTAATAATAAATGAGATCTCCAACTAAGACTTTAAGGTAGTGTTTGATTCATTAGAATGAAATGAAATAGAATTATCATTCCATTAAAATATTCATTCTCATGTTTAGTTAGACTAAAAAAATAATGACAAATACATTACAAAAAGTTGATTTTAACCCACTTTCCTCTCTCACAAAAAGTTTATTATAATCAACTTTCAACAAAAAAACTGATTATAACCATCTTCTCAAAATAACCAAAGTCATTTTACAATTTTAAAAAAATAATCATTCCATAGAAAAATCTAAATGAATCACCATTTCATTTTATTTCATCTCATTCCAATGAACTAAATAGATTCTAAGTACTAATTCCTTGGCCCACTACTTAATTGTATCAAACATCAAATGACGATTACAACCACTATCACTACCACATGCACCATCATTACCCTATCCTACCCAATTATAATTGCTACCATCACCACCACCACCCTCATTAACAGAACCACTATCACATAGTTCATGATCACAACCAGCGAAAATTATTCTATGCTATCAACTACAATGTACTAGACTCATCTTAACTATTGATCTCTATAAGATCAGTGTGAAACCTATATAATGATTGATTAAGATGGTTTTTTGGCATAGCAACTTCACTGTCGTTGATGGCAATAAATAATTGCTCCACACCCAAACATTAGTGTTTTTTTTTTATAATTTTTTTTTAAAATCAATATTTTTTCTAGTAAAATAATTTTTCCAATAAACCCTTTTTTTTTTTTTCAAAAAACCCTTTTTTTTTTTTTTTTTTTTTTTTTTTTGGGCTGAAACAAAGGAACCGTTAGAAAAAGGCATGGGCGCCGATGCCATTTGGGGTAGGGGTCATTAATATAAGTAGTGATTACGATTTGTTCATAATTTTTGGTACCTAGTACTACTACTGTTCTGCAACTTTCGGTTCAACAACACAACACACCCTTTGCTCTCATGCTCTGGGAGATTATCAATAACTTCCCTTCTCTGTTCAATCTGCTGCAGCAGAGTAGTATCTTATGACACACTACCAAGCATTGCCTTGCCTTGCCTGGGCGCTGCTGCCGCTGCTGCTGCTGCAACCACGTCATTAAATTTCTTCTCTCAACCCCCTTTGAAAATTTTCAAAAACCTTTCAAAAACTCCCATTTATTTATTTATTTATTTATTTTTTAATTTTTTTAATTTTTTTTTTAATTTTTTTTTAATTTTTTTTTTAATTTTTTACACCCCTAGCCCACACGGGATAAGCTTCCATCATAGGGTCCAATGCATAGTTTTAAATAATACAATATAAATAATTCATAAAATATAGGATTAATTAATTAATTTTGATAAGTTTAGGGAGGGCCTGACCACCCCTAACTTCGTCCCTAGCAATATGTATTGAGAATCATGTATAGTGGTTGTCAATTATTTAAAATTATCAGTTACAATTTTTTTTTTTTTGGTAGCATCGAGTCAACGATATTAGTTGTGAATCAACTCATAAATCAACTATGAATCGTGTATAGTGCTTGTCAATTATTTAAAATTACACGTGATTTTCATTTTAATGGTGTACGGACATAAAAAAAAAATACCGTATTTGATGATAAAGAAATCCAACGAAAAAGATGGTTAATACCACCACATGATCGCTATCTACAAGACAAAACACCCCCAGCTGTAGCCGGGGGTCCTCCGACGCCCAAGTCAAACCTTCAATATTATCAAAATATTTAATGGACTAATTCACAGAGAGAAATTACGTACCTCAACCCATTGCCTATTTATAATATCCAGTGACTTACTTAGCAAGTAGTTTGAATGTTTCAGAAGTCCTATCCCAAACAATCTCTGATTGTTGAGGACTTCTATATCGATAAGATTTCACATCCTGATAAGTTTTGCACAATATAAAATGCTAATGCAGTGTTTGATCAGAATTTGATAACTGTCATATACATGATAATTTATAATTACGCCACATGGTAGTGTTGGGACCCACATAATTCCTGCAGTTATTTTTATTCCCTCTCAATTGCCTCCAAGCTTTCATTTTCTTTGAACCCAGTGAAAGAGTGGAAGCTTTCTGTTGTTTTGATAAAAATAGCCATGTTATATTGTTTAGCTAGAACCATACATGGATGCTAGGGCTTATTCCAAAATGCCTAACCTTATTAGGACTTACTCTGAAAATGGCTAACCTTGCTGAAACTTATTCCAAGAATGCCTAACCTTGTTAGGACTTATTCCGAAAATGCCTTATTAGGACTTATTCCAAGAATGCCTAAACTTGTTAGGACATATTCCGAAAATGCCTAATCATGTTGGGATTTATTCCAAGAATGCCTAACCTTGCTGGGATTTATTCCAAGAATGCTTAACCTTGCTGGGATTTATTCCAAGAATACCTAATCTTATTAGGGCTTATTCTAAGAATGTCTAATCTTGTTAGGAACTACCAAAACACTAACTTGCTTATTGGCAAGCAAATCTTGCTTGTTAAGGAATTCCACTGTTGGACAAACCACCAACTTACTCTGCAAAAATTTTCAAAGTTGGTCAAACCTGTCATCCCACTTTGCCAAGCAAAACCAGCTTGACAAAGATTTTTCAAGTTGGTCACACTTGCCAACCTACTTTGCTGAGCAAAACCCGCCCTACAAAGATTTTCAAAGTTGGTCAAACCTGCCAACCCATTTTGCTGAACAAAACTCGCTCAACAAAGATTTTTCAAGTTGTTCAAATCTGCCAACCTACTTTGCTGAGCAAAACCCACTCTACAAAGATTTTCAAAGTTAGTCAAACTTGCTAACCTACTTTACCAAGCAAAACCCGCTCGACAAAGATTTTTCAAGTTGGTCAAACCTCCCAACCTACTTTGCTCAACAAAGATTTTCAAAATTGGTCAAACCTACCAATCTACTTCACTAAGCAAAACCCGTTCGACAAAGATTTTTCAAGTTGGTCAAACCTGCCAACCTACTTCGCTCGACAAAGATTTTTAGAATTAGTCAAACCTGCTAATCTACTTCACCAAGCAAAACCCGCTTGACAAAGATTTTTTAAGTTGGTCCAACCTGCCAACTTATCTCTTGTCCAAACCAGCTTGGCAAAGAGGTAAAATTTGTAACCAAAGGGTTATGTAATTCATATTGCCACCATGATCCATAAAGTGCAAACTCCATCTCAGCATATTTGACCCAAATAATAGTCTTCATCCACGTTTGGTATAAAAACTCATATTTTTCAGATAATAAAAAACTTGATATAATAATTTGATTTTCCATGTATTCGTGGTTGGAATAATAATGCATAAACTCTGTGCTCCATAGATAATCAAAATTCGACATAATGTATAAAATCTATACTCCGTAGCATAATAATTGATAATAATACCTCCATGTCCAGCATGATAATACATAAAACCCATACGCCACAGATAATAAAAATCTGATATAATTGATCTTTCATATCTCCGTGATCAGAATAATAGTGCATAAACTCCGTACTCCGCATATAACAATAATTACACATCACCACTTCCTATAGGGAATGAATTTATCTATTTTCTTCGAGTAATCTTGTGCAAGATCAGTTCATTGCATATTTTTTCGATAATTATGACTCAATAGTCAAGTCCTCTTTTCTCCATACATATTGCAATGGATCAATCTGAAAGCTATAGCAGAGCCTTAGTATTAAGATAATAATAATACAAGAATTTTTTACCCCAACGTCAATCATGTATTTGATCGACATAATGAATGGTAAGCTATGTCGAGCATGTCATTGTATAATTATTATGTTGATCAACATAATCAATGATCAATATAATATTGGAGAACCTAACCGCATAATCTTCTTCATTGAATTTTGTCAGTTCCCATAGACGGCGCCAATTGTACTGACATAAAAAAATACCGTATTTGATGATGAAGAAATCTAACGAAGAAGATGATTAGCACCACCATGCGATCGTTATCTGCAGGACAAAATACCCTAGTTGTAGCCGGGGGCCCTCCGACGCCCAAGTCAGTCCTCCAATATTATCAAAATATTTAATGAAGTAATTCATAGAGAGAAATTGCGTACATCAACCCACAAGGGTGTTGCCTATTTATAATATCCAGTGACTTAATTAGCAAGTAGTTTGAATGTTTCAGAAGTTCTATTCGAAACAATCTCTGA